CCGTGCTGGCAGCAGGCAGGGAGTGGAGTCCCGATCTTCTCCTTTCCCAGCCCTCCCTGACTCATCTGAGGACCTAGCACCGTGGTGGGTGTACAGCATTGCACACTTGCTATTTTGTGCAGCTCGTGTCACTTGTCACTTGAAGCACCCCATGGCCTCTGGGAGGCAGCAGAGAAGTCTTCTGAAGACATCCCCATGAAGGACCTGCATGGTCTTTTGTGACACCTTCTCAGAGGTCTTTGCCCTCTGCCGTCTCAGGTGCTGAAAGTTGCTTACTCTGACTTGAGGCGTTTGCAAATGAGAGGTCTCCTTGCCTCTCCTTACCCTGCTGCCAGGCCCACCTCTGTCCCGGGCAAAGGGGTTTTGCAGCGCTCCCGTCTGCAGAGCCACTGCTGCCTGGCACTGGTGCTCCTGAGATCTTGGACTTTCGCTCTCCTTGGTTGAGCGGCTGTGTCACGGCTCAGGCTCACACCTGCACTTTGAGGATTTGAAATTGAGTGGGGTTTTTTCTGCCTTTTTCTGGCAATTATTATTTCTAGGATGCTTGTTTATGCATTCAGTCACAGAAGTGTATATGCAGGGTTAGTGTACCTCGTGGAAAATTTCTGGTGGCGCTGGAAAAATGACTACCTGTTGGATTTAGCACTGATAAATAAATTTTAATCCAAGGGAGATGGGGAGAGAACGAGGGCTCTCTCCAAAAGCGAGGACACAAAGTAATTAGGCTCTGCGGGTGGTCTGACCATCCTTTGCTTCCTGCTCTGTGGTGGATTTGTCAGGAAGAGGAGCAGTTACCTGACCTGGTCTTAATCCAATATATACCTTAAGAACAACTAAAGCTGTGAGATGAGTGAATTAAGTCTGGAGTATATAATCTCATCCCAACTAATTATCCGATTGTTTTGCTTGAACGTCTGTTGTTATCTGTGTGGGTAGGGAAATTCGTCTCTGAAAGGAGCCGCAGAGTGTGTTTTTGAATGCGAGTAGTATTTTCAGTGGTGTCACTCTGCTACAACATATGGATGTTGTACAATCTTGTACAACTGTGCTTCACATGAGAGGGACATTAGCTAACAGCACAGTTATTGTAAGCTAAGGATTACTTGTAGGACTAAAGAGCTGCTCTGAAAGGGGAAAGGCTTGTTCCTGCAAGACCACCTCAATATTTGCATATGTTCTTCTGATATTCAAGTAAGTCCTCCAGTAGTTGGAATTTACATGCATTTTTGTTTATGAATGCCATTTTGTAGGTTCACTCAGACTTTCACATCAGGGGTGTGCTAACTTGGCAACCCCCTGCTTGACTTAACAGCAGAGCCAGAGAAGCCTGAATGTGCTGCTCTCTCCAAGTACGCCCTGTAAGGTGGAAAGTAGTTGGGAATTGTGAATTGAGGCTGCTAATTCTACACAACTTTATTTTCTGAGAGCTTTTTAAAAGTTGTGTTATGGCATGTTCAGTGAAAGAGAAGCTAAGAGGTCATTTAGAACAGCTTTGGTGACTAGAAGATTGGTACCTCAATAAAAATAATTTGGTAGCGTTGGGATGGAAACTTGAAGAATATTTTGCACGAAATGTTTTTGGAGGTAAGAAATGAAGAATTAGCACTTCAACTAAAGAAATAAGCAAGTATGGAAAGCATGTACTGGTGTCTTCATTAAACTGGACACTGCTAATCTAAGAGTGTAAGTGGAGCTTCTAAATACATGCGAGAGCATTTTAAAAAAGATAACTGTTGAGCAAGGAAACTTTAGTTCTTGGCAACATGCTGAGTAAATGACAAAGAATGATTAAAAGTGCTGCCATGTAGAATCAGGCTCATATGTTCTTGAATTTAATTTTTAAATAGCTTGGGTCTGTTCCCATTCAAAAGCCAAACCATTGCAGAAACTGGTGCATCTGAAACTAGTTTCAAATGTTTTTTTAAAGGCCAGTTTCCTTCAGCAGTGGTTATTTGCTCTGTGCGCCAAAGGTTTTACAAGCCAAAAGGTGCCTGTAGGATTGCACAGTGCCATTGCAGCTCAGTATTTTTAAGAAATAACTCCCAAAATATTAACTGTGCGTATAGAACTATGAATAACAATTTTGCTGCAGAAAAAGAGAGTGTTGTATTGACAGGCATTATATTTTGTACTTTTTTTCCCAGGTGGTTCACTGCCCCATGAAGAATCTTCACTGGTTGTGAATAAAGGGGAGGAATTAAGGCTGAGATGCAATGAGGATGGACCTGTGACTTGGAATTTCCAGAACTCGAACCCTTCGGCAAAAGCAAGGAGTTCCAATGAAAAGGAGTGGTACACCAAAAATGCAACAGTCAGAGACATAGGCAGATACATATGCAAAAGCAAAGGCAGTATTGTCACCTCTTTTTATGTTTTTGTTAAAGGTAAATATCAATGAAGGCATTATTTTTGCTTCTGTGCGTTCCCCCCACTGCCCCCCCCATTTCCCACTCCCAAAATAATAGGACAGTAAATGCAGAAGAAGGGAATGAGTTTGAGGTACAGAGGGAGAACACAGTCTGATAGAATAAATCTTTTTCCCTGTCCAATAGAAAGAAAACTCACTCCCAACTTTGCTTGCAATGGCCTTTGTCACCACAGCAAAGCCCTGGATGAATTTCTCTTTACACCCCTGTTGCTTCGTGGTGAAGTACACCTGAGCTGTCTTTCTAGAAGCTCATCAAGTGATCTGAGTCAGTTGCGTGAGTCAGTTGTACTGTGAGGAAGCAAGCAGTATGTAGAAATGTCTTTTTAATTCCATGCCATCCATCAGGATGGAGTCATGTGAGGTTTGGCCCCAAGCTCATGATTTATTGAGGCAGTTGGCTAAAGGATTTGGCTTTTCGAGGCCGCACTCTTAGGCTTAAGCCAGCAGGCAGCAATGGTTCCTCTGCCTCCAGCTCCTGATCTGCTTTGTGACAGAAATGTCTCAGATGGGAAAAAAGTTCCTGTGTTCCCAGTTCTTTATTACCCTTCCACTTTGTCCAGTGCTTTCTTCAGATTTCTTCTCTTCTTTTGTTGGGTCCTTATCTGTGGCTTCATCAGCTGTCATCAAGCCACCAGCTTACCATACCTGGAATTTCCTTTTCCTTTCCAAGGAAGACAGTTATTTTACTTCTCCTTCACATAGCTCTGGTGGTCTTTTTTCCCTGTTGATGGTAAAAAAAGTCCTACAGTATCCACTTTCTTGGAAACAGCATTCCTTGTCCAACAGGATTTGCCTCAAAGAGCCTCCTCTGAACCCTGCCAATCCCTTGAGAATTACTGCAGGTTGTTTTCCAAAATAGGGAGATACCAGCATAGCACAGTGAAGAGTATTTTTCCCAAGGGAAGATATCTGACATAGTGGCCACACAATTAAGAGTGCTCCTTTAACCACTCCTGTGTTGTCCAAATAACCATGCAGCTACCATGGATGAGTTTTCTTGACCTTCTGTGTTTCTTTGAGACTATGACTAAACAAAATCTGTCATGTATTTTACCTATATGTGACAAACATTGTTGACTTTATCTACCATGACTGTTTTCCTGAAGGTCATGATAATTATCCCAGACATCTGTGATCATAGAGATGTTTGTACCTTGCATTACGTGAGTGACTCCTTCACCTCAGGTTATCAGGCAGCCCTCCCACTGAGCATGATTACCAAATTATCAGAGAAGTTGTGTGGCCCTCATGCAATATCTTGTTAATTTATTTGTCTTAATGGTGTGAAAAATGTGCAAGCTTCGCTCTGACAAATTCCTGGCAGTAAAATAAGTATGTTTGTGCCGTTGGCCATCATTTTGCAATAGGGTAACCTTTACAGCTGTGGCTCAATGACATCTTACAACACCTTGAAGATGCTACCATGAGCTCAGCTGCTTGTGGGATTGCCACGAGCACCCGATATGCTTTCTTCTTGTAAGCCTGAGAATGAAGAGGGAACAGGACCCAGAGTAACTCACTGGGAGATAACCTCGATCCTGCGCTGTCCCAAGTGGCACATGAAATGGTGGCAGCTGTTTATCTCTTACGCCCATCTGCTAACAATGAATTTTCTATGCTTCTGTGACCAAGGATGACGCAGTGTTGACAGACTGTAGGTGCTTACCTCTTTCACCTTTCTGCTTCGGCAGCAACTGCCTGTGTTTTGTGTATAGAAGCCATGTGTGTCCCTATACAAGTAAGTTTAGTGAAGATCAAGCTAGTTCAGACACCTAGATAGGAGAGAAAAATCTCTTGATTTTGATCTCAAGTCTTTTCAGACACAAGCAATGATAAGCACCACCACGTCTTATGTTGGAAACCTGACGTATGCCCAGAAAGCAAGTGCTACCCAAGTTGTACCTGGGGTGGAAAGCCATTAAGGGAAGAATAGGACCATGAGCAGCCTTGTTTGTGCCTGGATTCCCTATGGCAAATCCTTTCATGTCTTCTTACCATGACATCTCCCTTCCAGAGGTGGAGGGAAAATGGGAAGGGGAGCATCTTAACAATTCTGCTTAGCCCAGCAAGACCTTCCCTGCAGTTTCTGCAGTTGGTGAAACAGGTCTTTGTTCCTTTCTTCTGCTTTCAAGGGTGTCTTTTTTTCCCTGGGGAGACATCATTTCTGTATAGTAAAGATATCTTGCCTCTGTCCATATTGGAGAAAAAGTGGACTGAGAGGAAACCAATCAGTTAAGTCTCTGATGGCAGGGACATTTAGATGAGCTCTTCTAGTCCATGCTCGTCCAGCTCAGGAGTGAGAGCTATTCATAGCATTTCTCTAAGTATTTCTGTGTGCAAAACATCACACTTTGGTTCTGTTTAGACATGCTTTACTTTTTCATTTGTTAGTAGTCTCCAACCTCTAGTTCTAGACTGATGCTTCAAAGCTTTTAGTCCGGGGCGGCTTCTTGGGTGGCAGTATCAAATGAGGCTAAAACTACACCCTCTTTCTAAGCTAGAAACCAGCCAGTAACTTCTCTGTTCAGTGATGAACAACCTGTGACTTAGCATTTCCTAATTGCTTACCTAAATGTCCCATGCTTCATTTTCAGCCTGGTACTTCTTGTCTTAAACCAAATGAACATTGTCCATCATCTTAACCAAATTCTCCCAGTCTTCCTTGTTAAGTCATGGTTAGTTGATCTCTAATGACTCAAGTTGTATGAGGCCAGTTTGCAAAAAATAAAGAAAACCTTCCCCTCTGTTTCTACATTTCTAATTCACTCTACTCTGTAGGGAGGGCAGATGGGAGCTGAAATAAGCTTTTACAGAGTGTTTGTCACCACACTTTCCTTTATATTTGTGTTTGTTCTTAATTGCCAAGTTCTTAGTATTTCAAGGTCATCACCTGTCACAAGCTTTGACTTTGGTTGTAAAAGTGTTTAAAGTACTGTATGTTTGTGTGCTGTGGTTGGCTGAGATGAAATGCTTTAGAAAAGTACCTTGTGAAAGATTCCATGACAATTTCTCAATCAGATATGCTGTTTGTACGCCCAGTTTTTTTCTAAGGAGGCTAAAAATAACCCCTGCTTTCAGGGAGGGGAGCGAGAGAGAGAAGTTGTTTGGTGCTTCCTCTGGTAGCAATGTGTGTTCATTTAGATTATGTATTTTACAGAAGTGAAAACCATAATTTAGCTGCTTTTCAACTTCCATTTGCTCATAAATTTCTTCAAAATCCTCCTGTGGGCATGAAAGCTCACAGTCCTGCCACTAGCTAAAAGAAAATTACTTTTAATGGTCTGTGAAAATCTATTTACTGTTGTTGGGGCTGGAGAGTGAAGGTTTTGGAGCTAAACAAGGCCAAAAAAAAAAAAAAGTCTCCATCTCCAAATGAAAAAGCAGTAAGATTATTTTTAGTGCACATGATTCTCTAGTGTGTCTGATATTGAATGCTACTGCACATCTCCTGTTGTGCTGCTCTTTTATGACAAAATTTAATGTCTCTTGGTAAACATGAATTGGGTAACACTCCGTTTTACTGGCTCAGTGTAAAACTAACTTTGATATAAGTGCCCAGTTGCAGAGTTAGGGTCATCAGAAGTTCCCTGTGCAATGTCTCCTTCTCTGACAGGTCTTTGTGTTTCTTCGCAGATCCAAACGTGCTCTTCCTTGTTGATTCTCTGATCTATGGAAAAGAAGACAGTGACATCCTGCTAGTGTGCCCACTAACAGATCCAGATGTTTCAAATTTCACGCTGAGAAAATGTGATGGCAAACCTCTCCCCAAAAATATGACGTTTATTCCCAATCCCCAGAAAGGCATCGTTATAAAGAATGTACAGAGGTCATTTAAGGGCTGCTACCAGTGCTTGGCCAAGCACAACGGAGTTGAGAAAATATCGGACCACATTTACCTGAATGTGAGGCCAGGTAACATGGGATTTTCACCTTCTTGTAGAGCACTTGATTTTCCCCTTTATCTCCCAGGAGCTGATAGGAAGTGCTGTGAAGCCTCACCTTGTGTCCTGACCTTGTTATGTGGAGTTTGGAGGTGGTGGTCTCCTCTGGAGGCTTTTAGAGTCTTCTTCTACTCAAAGCCAGATGTGCTTGGACACGAGGGGATTGCTCTGTGGCACCTGTGACTGCTGCAAGCAATCCAGAGGAAGGTGGTAGGCTTAGAAAGCTTGTTCTGGGCAAGTTGGGGGGGGGGCACAAGCTGATCTCGTGACATTTTGCTTGTGACTATGCTGAGCAAGTTTGGCCATGATCACTTTTATCTTTTGTTCTGGGTGATTTCCAGGTGGTTTTTTTCACCATTCCAAGAAATGTGGGTTGTGCTGTTAAATTTTGAGGACAAACCAGTCAACTGAGGTTTGGACAGGTTCGTGCAGGCAAGGTTGAAATTTGGGTGCCTGACTCACATGTCTGTTGCCCACAAGTGACAGCAGGAGGAACTGATTTATGGCATTGAAGAAGAGGGATTCAGTGGAGATGGCAGCAGAGGGCCCTTGTTTGTCTCCATCTTCATGAGAGGATGGTCACAACAGCAACCACATGCCCAGATCGTGATGAGGAATGTGTTGTGACTGAGCTGCCAGATGCATCACTTAGCTCTGCAAACCTGTTGATGATGCCCTGCCTTTGACCTTCATGCACCCTTGTGCCCTAGGGTTGGGTTGTTAAGTGGTTTTGGGAGGGAGGAGAAGCCCGATGCCTGGCTGCGCAGCACGTTACAGACTGGTTTTGTCTGGGCAGTTCAGAGCCTCCGTTTACCCCACGTGTCGTTAATCTGCTGTATAAATACCCAGGAGTGAAGTGGAGGGAGCGTTTCAGCAAGCCAAGCTGGCTCGGTGTTTCCTCCGGGGCAAGTAAATGAGTTTATTCTCCCCTCTGAGGCTGTTTGACTGAAGTAACCCCTCGCTGCAGCTGAGAGCGCGTCTCTGCTGAGGCGTGCGTGCGATGCAGAGGCTGCAGGAAGGTCTGGGGAGGGAGCATCCCCTGCCCGTGCCCACGCGTGGGTTGTGCACCGGGAGTTTCTGTTGGCTGCAAGTGCATTTCTGTTCCCGCGGCTGAGGTGTCACGTTGGGATTTTGTTGTCGAAAGGAGAACATTGGGCAGGGTTGGTTGGCTTTGTGCTTTCAGAGGCCTCCGGCCGTCGGCGATGCTGTCGGTGCTGCCGCGGCTGCTGCTGGAGCGGGGGATGCACGGCTCGGTGCAGCGGGCTGGTGTGCTTCCCGCCAGCTGCCCGTTGTGTGCCAGGCGTTAGGAGCTGAGGCTGGGCCACCACCAGCATCTCCTCTTGTGCTGGTGAAGGAGGGCTGCCCTGTGGTGTGATAAGGGGACTCGTTGGTGTTTGCTCCCTGTCTGGGTCTGTGTGACCCGCCCGGTGCCGTGCTCCTCCGTAGTGGGGCAGGGGTGGGCAGTAGGGGCCGTCTCAAATCTGCAGGTTGCTGTGGCAAATTGAACAACTCTTTTTCCTGGTAATTTGGAAACTCCAATAGAGTGAATTTTAATGAATATTAAATTTTAATTAATGAGAAGAATACAAAAGTTTAATCAGTACAGGCATCTCTGGCATTCTCCTTTGATGAGAAAAATCAAGTCCATTCTTGCTGTCTCTGGTGTTTGTTCTGTAGCAAGGTTTTCTTTCAACTCTTTTTTCAGTGGTGGCCAAAGAAAGCAGTTGATTGACATAACTGACATTTCTCTGACATAGGAGAGTGCAAGTTGTAGTAGTGGACTATTTAATTTTTTTATGGGATGAAAGTCTGTACTTGCTCGATACAGCAGTGACTGCAGATGGGAGGGTGCTGACCTGGCATCCATCGCCAGTGGCCCACTGATTGTGGGCAGCCGTAGGTGGCCAGCAGGACCTGGGCGCTCTGCCCACATCTCCGTCTGTGGGAAAGTGTGCAGTAAGTGGAAGCATCTGCTGGAGGCCATCGGCAGCAAAGCAGCATTGTCATCCTCAGCATTGTAATGACTGTGCTGCAGTATTCAATCCTTGTCGAGTTCACCTGGTAAAACTCCTGCCTTCTCCTTGGCTGAAGACGTACGTGTCTTGGAGACCCTTTGGTGCACATTGTTTCTGTAATCATAACCGTGGTGCTCAGACCCCTGGACTTGAGCTTCTGGTGCAGAAAGACTAAAGAGGCATCCACGAAACAGAGAGCTGTGCAGGCGTACTCAGACATACACCAGCTCTGCTATGATAGCACAGGGAGTGTTTCTGTCCAGCCCTTCTCAAAACAATGAGGGGCTTTATGGACTTAACGGCTTTTTTTTGGTTGTGCGTAGATGTTGCTGGCGGGTGAGAACACAGCACGCCTTCTGCACAGGCTTCCTCCTGTCTCTTGGGTACTGCTGTGTGCCGGGGGGGATTTTTATGTGAGCCTTCATATCTGAAGAGAGCAAACATGTTTCTTTGTTCTCTTCCATAGCCGCTTACAGCAGCATGAGGAAAACATTATTGTTAAAGTATGAACAGCTGAAAAGCGTGGCGTTTTCCTAAGTTTCGTATAATTTACCTAAGACAAACTACAAAGCCTGTGTCAGAGGCAGGAAGAGAGTCTAGAAGGCCTTATCTGATATGTGTTGCATTCATGGTTTGAAAGTGAGTCTTCCTGTGTAAAATCCCTAGTGGCAAGTTCACTGGAGTCTCATAAATGAGGAAATTTTGAAGACAGGATGAAGAAAACAGAAAAACAAACTGTGGAGGGAACAGAGGAAGAGCAAAAGACCTTTGCGGAGATAAGAGATGCATAATCCTCAAATATACTTGAGTGTTGACCAAAGACACCCTGGAGCAGAACAGGGGTACAGGTAGCAGCTGCTTGGAACCACCTACCTCTTGGGTGACAAACTCGTCTGCGGTCTTGGCTCAAACCACCTCTGCGAACCCTCACTGTGAACAGAGGTTGTGATGCTTTCCATGTGAAGTCCTTGAGCTGTCCTTCCTGGGGTGTCCACTGGGGGCTTTTCACGGACCTGTTGGACAGTACTTCATGTCAGCTGTAGTAATTTGTAATTAAATGTTGCAGTTAATGCTAGGCTGTGGTTCTTCAGTGACTGATCCTCACCATGTTTTCAGTTCCAGAGTGCAACTTTTTAATCGCTGTCACGAAATGAGTTGTCTCATTGATGGTTCAACATCGTTCAAGTTTCTCCACGCAAGTTACTACGCTCTAACAAGTATTATCTAACTTTAAGTGTAATTTGAAGGGAGATTGAAGCAGAAACGTGCTTGTTGTAAAGGAACAACTGTGTAATATGTTAAAGAAATTTGAATACCTCTCGGAGGCCTGGAATTTTATTGGAAAGTTAATGACTGTTGATTTTTATCCCCCCTTGGAAGCTCTGAAGCTAATGAAAAGTAATGCACTTTTAAATTGTTTTCCAGTTCACAAAACTCTTCCCGTCATCACCTTATCCAAAAGCTATGAGCTTCTCAAAGAAGGGGAAGAGTTTGAAGTTACATGCACAATCATGGATGTGGATAGCAGCGTACAAGCTAGTTGGATTTCTCACAAAAATGGGGTGAGTTCCTTTAATTGTATCCTGTATGCACAGTACACAAACTCTCTGTAGATGTTCACCTGCTTGTCTTGGATACCTGATGCTGGATTGGTTTGGATTTGCTGCATTTCCAACGGTCCCGCATCCCACAGACTGGTGAGGGCCCAGCAACAACTGTCCCATGCCCATGTGGACAGCTGGGAAGAAAAGCATCTGCACGGGCTTATCTTCCCAAATTAGAAAAGAAATTAAAGTTAGGCTCTTCAATGTGAAGTTTAGGTGACCTCTGTTGGGCTGCCTAAATACGGAAGCACGGAGTGCCTACACATCACATTGCAATCAATGGGAGCTGCAAATATCAACACATGGACTGCAAATTACATATTCTAGTCGTTATCATTAACAGTAAAATACCTGCTAATTAGCACGGGATTGTATGTGACAGGAATAGTAGTAAGCATTTGCAGGAATGATTAATTCATTTAAATTACACGGTGTGCCTCACTAACCAGGAAAATTCTGAAAAATGAACCAGTGAACTGGCTTCTGTCTGTCGTGATAGATGAAATTACTTCCTGGCATCACCAAATTAAATTATTGGCAGGTTAAGTTCGCCGGGAGAGTTTGTTACCAGCAGCGCAGCTATACTGAGGACGACGGGCAGAGAGATCCCCTCCCCTGGTCAGCCAGCGTGTGGCCAGCTCTGCCTTTGAAACAAGCAGCAGGCACTGGGTTGTTTTTAAGGACGCTTCTTGGTCTTCTGGGTATACCCTGAAATATAAATGAATTAAAAGCCTGTGTGAAGACCTGTTAGTAACTCCTGCTGTATATGCTCCCATGCTAATTGGCTGTTTTTTTACTGTTGATGGTAGTGACCAGAATACGTAATTCGCAGTCCACATGTGTATGGAAAAAAAGGCTTCTGTAATGCTGTGATGTTTGGATAAATCACATCTCCTCGGGCAGATAGCAAACAGGAGGCCCGTTCCCTGGGGTTGGATATGCCATGCTAAGCTAATCCGCTGGCTCTGGCAGAGCTGCTCTCGCTAAGTGCTCGCTGCTCCAGAAATCCCAGCTCTCAGCTCCAGGAGTTGAGGAGGTCTAAATGACACGAAGGCAGCCTGGGACATGCAGATGGGGCTTTTGGTCCTATGCCAAGGTCAACTGCAAGTCTTTCATCTGAGAACTTAATTTCTTCTCTTGTTCCCTCCCTTTTTCTTTGTTACAGTGTGATGAAATCGAGGTCTTCCCTTAAGTTCTTGTGCTTTATTACTTTTCATTTTATGAGTAAAAGCCATGAGGACAATATTTTTGACCAAATAAATTTGACCTTTCTGTCCTTTCTGTTAAATACCAAGAGATGCTATCTTTTGATATTTTTTGACTATTGAATTTTGTACTGAAACAGAATTCATAAAATTCATGTTTAAATAGATGCAGAATTATATTCTGTCCTGAACAGGACAAAGGGAAAAAAAAAAACAACCTAAAAACCTTTCCTTGTTTTGACTGAAGTTATCACCACTTTTGAAAAGTAGAAGACTTGTTATAAACAAGCACATCCATACAAAACAAACTGCTACCTGTGATTATTATAGCTCAGGAGGAACCAAAACTGTGTTGAAATTAGAGTTATCCAGGACCTCTTGGCACCTCCAAGAATTGAAATCACTCTGCTAGAAAGTCATAACAAGTCCAGGTTTGCGTTTGGATTAATCAGTGTAAATTTACCAGTCTTCCCAACCACATCAAGCATTCTCACAGAAACTAAAGTCAACACCTCAAAGCATTTATTTTTTCTTTAGTTCCTTTAGTTTAGAATGTCTATGTACGTAGACATAGAGTCATGGTATACTCAATGCTTTGGAAAGAGAATGAAGTTTCCAGTTGCCTGTGAGATTAATAAATCTGGATTGCTGTGAACTGAGAAACAGAATGGGTTCCAGAGTAAGGATGCCATGTAGAACGTGCCATCAGCAGGTCCCTCTGCAGCATGTCTGCAATGAGGAGATGCTGTGGACTTGGGGCATAGAGCAACCCAGTTTAACTTCAGCACCTTCAATTCTCTCTTGTTGTTCTGTGGGAAGCATTGCAAGCATTAGAGAGTTCAGTGATTTTTAGGCACCACTTGAGTGGTGAAGCCCATTTCAGCGTTGCAGTGACTTTTTACAGTAGCTGCAGCTTCTAGGCATTATGAAAGTTAAGACACGGCCGTCATTTTACATCAAGCCCTACAGCTTAGAAGCATTGTTAATGCAAATGAAACCTTCTGTGGATTCCCCAACCTTATCAGCTTTAGAAATTTATCCAGAGGGAGCTGGGTCTGACCTTGGGCATGACACCCTTTTCTCCGTATGATTGAAAGATTTGAAGAAATTAGAGTTTCAGCTTTGTGGCTTCAGCTGGTCTCTCCCACTTGGCTCTTTTGGGGCAGGTGAACACACATGCGCACGTGCACACACACACACACACGTTCTTGCCTGAGGAGCGAAATGATGCCTTACAGTGGAGCTTGAGGAAGAAAAAAATAAAGAATAAGGAGAGGGGATAGGACTTAGGAGAGGACTTTATCTCCCAAAGACAGCTGATCACACACTTGTTTTGCATGGAGAGATTCTAGTGACAGGTTTGTCGTGCTGGCTTATTATTCCGGTTTAAAGTTATGAATATTAATATAGCGAAGTTATAATTACTTCTATTTTTAATTTATCTAGGAAAGATGCTGCATACACACTGTTTTAGATGTTAATTGTTTTTTACCGACAGATTGTTACAAGCAAAAGCAGAAATTTGGGTGATTATGGATACGAAGGGAAATTAACATTGAACATCCGTTCAGTGGGAGTTAATGATTCTGGAGAATTCACATGCCAAGCAGAAAACCCTTTCGGAAAAACCAATGCCACAGTAACCTTGAAAGCACTAGGTAAAGAGTTCTTAACCAAAATCTTAACATTTCTAAGAGCGGGAGGTGGATAATGAGAACACTGAGGAGCCTTCCCTTCCATCTCCTTCCTTTCCCCCAAACTTCAGGGCGTAAAGTTGTTTTATTAAAAGGTTATTGCTGACTGGTACCCTATGGGATGGCTGAGGAAGTGTTGTGATGTGTATGACTATAATTTCTATAACCCTTTGCATGTTATTGGAATGTGGTATTAGAACAACCATCCAACAGTGTTTCCATCTCTCTGGTTTGTCTCTATCCTGCCTGGTTTAATTTTAAATTTAATCTAGTCTTAATGAAGCAAATAATTTACCTTTGCCTAATACTATCTATCCGTACGCTTAAGTAATTTAGCAACACAAGCACAAAGTGTATCTTTAATACCTACCTTCCAGGTAGGAAATTTCGCTGGCATCAGCATGTCAGTCTTTTCTACATAGAAGCTATATAGGTATCTCTATTTAAAATAATGCTGTGAGGAACATTGCAGTGGGCATAGACAGCATTAAATTGTTCCAGAGTTCACCCCTGTGGTAAACCCCCCATCCACCACTTCCACAGGTTTTGGATCGTGTCCCTTAAGAGTGAGTGAACTCCCTCCTTTTGTTTCATAACAGACTCGTTTAGAGTCTGCTGTATATTAACTTGGGTGACACCCAAGTGAATTTTAAAGCTCTGAAACTGCTAATGTGATAAATCAGTTAAGGACATGTTGGTGTACTTAATAAGATCATTCTGAAGAAGTCTGCGTAGTTGGCTAAAATTGTTTCAGTTCTTCACCATTCAAGGGTGTAGTAACTGAGAGAAGTGTAGCCTTGGATCCTTTTTCCTTTTAGAATCTGTTTTTCTGTTGCATTGATAGTCATGCAATGTTGCTTTTTTTTTTTTTTTTTTTTTTCTTTCCCTGGTAACTTAAAGCAAACAGAAGTATTTGACTTATGTGGGTCAGATCTTCGGCAGAGCGGCAGAGGTTTGAGTGCCCTTAACCTTGATCTGCCGTTCGAGGGGGTAGGGCTCATAACAGTGGTGATGTTTTCCTCATTTTTTTACAGGAGAGACTAAATTCCTATGTAAAAGAGTGAAACAGAGTGAAGAATGAAAGAAGATCTTTTACCCAAGGGGAACAATAGGAAAGCTTTTATTATAAGAGGAGAGAAGTTCTTAACTACAGAAATTCTTAGGACTAGTACATATGCAAATGTGGCTTTAAAAAGGATTGACTTTGGAAGGTCTGGGGACTAAAATAAAGCACAGCATAATAAAAAGTAGAAAATAAAGTAACAAGTTTATATTTAGTAAAATGCAAAGTTTGTATTTAATAAAAAATACCAGAGAAAAGCTGGAATCTTTCCTTTTTGAGATACTTTTCTCTCCCCACCCTCTCCAATTTGACTTAAAAATAAAATAAACTCTGTCTCCTGGATGCCTTTCTCTATTCATTGTCAAACTGACTATATTTATCTGAACTGTGCCAGCTCCCAGGGTCCTGGGAAGCAGTGTATGGCATGTACTGGGACGATCCTGGGATTGTATCAGATTCTAAATCACTGTAGCTTTAACATTAGCCAAAAGGTTTACAAGAAATAATGCGTATTTTTGGTAAAGTTCCTCATTACTTTTTTTAACACACGATTTATCTAATCACGAACAGTTTCTAGAACTGTTTCAGGGACTGATAGCACAATCATAAAATTTTATTTGCAGGCTCTTGGGTATGATTTTGAATCTAGGTTGCATAGAGGATCCTGTGTTTATACAGAAAATAGAAAAAAAAAATCTGCAAAGGAACTAAAAATCTTCAGTTTCCAGATTTAAAACATTTTTAGCTTTTCTAATGATGGAGAGCATTTTAGAGCATACCTGCCTGCTGTGAGTTTACTTCATCCTTTCTTCTCTGAAGCATCTTGTCAAGTGCTCTGGCAGCTCCATATGCTTTCACCAAGCCCCGCTGGCTCTGGTTTTCCCGAGCTCAGGTGCCCAGCTGGCCACAGCAGTTTGATTAGTAGAAAGTGGGAAGAAGCAGGGATCCGAGATTGACTTTCAGCCTAAATTCAAGCTCTCTCAGTAAATGTGTTTCCTTGTAATTGCAATCTGCCTGTCAAATGATAATTCCCGTATGAATTTGTGTAATAGGACTGAAAAAATTTGTCTTTTCAAAGTGAATAATCCTGAAGCTGATGAGTTTATTAATGAAATTAAAACCACAGCAGTAAGGATGCTGCTCCACATGATATTTTGGAACGGAACTGCACAATGATAAATGGTATCTGCCAAATAGAAGATTAAAACCCAGCAGTAGATGAACAGAAATGCCTTAGTTTAAGACAATTGGTATCCAGGCCTGTGGACTTAGCACATTTTTCTCTAATTACAATTTCTAATAGCTTCATTTGTAATGTCATTCTTAATTACACTTGACAAAGAAACCTTAAATACTCTAGTATATTGTCATAAATCGTCAATTTATCTTGCTTTTTTCTTAGTGTTTCTTTTGTACCGTACATTTAGCGACTCTGATTTTTGGAAAAATGTAAATACTTGAGTAGAAGCAAGCAGATGCTTGCATTTTTTCAAAAGCAAATAGAGGCTATTTATCACCAGAAGATGGAATTATTTCTGTTAAGGCACTCAAGGCTGCTTTAAGTCCTGTGCCTCCTTGCTGTGTATAGCTAGTGGCCCTGGTTTTGGCAGGTGAGGGTTCAAGTTCCGCTTTGTAGATAAGATTTCCTGTTTCGCAGTTGGATGTTTGATCACTAGATCTTGAAGTAGTCTAAGTGTGGTTAGAGTACTGACAATCTTCTAAATGGCCCTGAAATTGTTTTTCTTCTCCTCTTATGGCCATCAGCTAAAGGATTTGTCCGTTTGTTTGCAACAATGAATACCACAATAGATATAAATGCAGGACAAAATGGAAATTTAACAGTTCAATATGAGGCATATCCAAAACCGAAGGAAGAAGTCTGGATGTACATGAACGAAAATTTACAGAATTCATCAGACCATTATGTCAAGTTCAAGACTGTGGGCAATAACAGGTAATATGAACGATTGTAAGCACTATCGATTTCACTTTGGAATAGCAAACTAGAGTCTGGTCTGGAAAGACCAAAGTGGAGATGGTGTGAAAATTGTGACTATACAAGATCTCATAGTCCGTGTGGCTTACCACAGTAACTGGTGCAAAGTCTGCTAACCTAGATTGGGAGTAGTGTTGAGCTAACCGCACCATCTGAGGATCAGTGGGTCACAAACTCACGACCCACCTATAAGATGCCATTCCTGCCCAATAAGCAAAAATAAGAATGTAAAGTTGTTTGTGTGCAGAGACTCCCTCCACGACCACAGCAGAGCACCTCGCACGTTGTGGCCTGGGTTGTGTGTCTGGGTTCCCTCCTCAGTGAGAAAAGGAGCAGGTGGTGGTGCATGCCTGGGGTCCGAGCCTGGTGCTGAGCTGTCACCCAGGCACACACATGGATGTTAGAAGTGGCAAAACTTTTGGATGCCATAGTGCAAAGGCAGTCATAATGCAAGATAAGAGTGTTGGCATGGACAGTGTCTGCAGAAGAAGAGGGTGCGCTAATAACTCACTCCTTAGCTTCTGCGCAGCAATTGCCTGTTCACCGCAAGTTGTGAGCATCAGTAATGCCTAATTTTTTTCTTTACAGTTATACAAGTGAACTTCACCTTACCCGATTAAAAGGAACAGAAGGAGGCGTTTACACATTTTTTGTGTCCAATTCTGATGCCAGCTCCTCTGTAACATTTAATGTCTATGTGAAAAGTAAGTAAAGTGAACAGTCTGAAATATTTCATTATCACAGTCATTGTATTTTATACAACATAATGTATGCACAAGATGTCACAGCGTGGTTCAGCATATGAGAGGCTTTCTGAAGTGAAGCACATGCTGGAAAACTATTTAAATGTCAAGATATAAAAGTGCAGAGTACTTACACAAATCCACCTACTATCCAGCATGATCTTCCATTCTAGTGAAAGTATTCCAGAGGTTACCAGAGAGCAGATAGATAGTTTATACAGGAAAAAAACCTGTAGCACCTGGAAAGGTGATCTCAAAAATAAGCATGTACCATAAACATTTGATAATTTAAGGTGGAGCAGGATATACAGGGATTATAATTTGCATTTTTGGCAACCAAGTTAAGCTATTAATTGTCTTTAATTTGTTTGAGTTGGATGCAGAGTTTGAAAGCTTGTCAGGAGAATTATTCACTTGTGCCTTTTTGCATCTAAATAATTCTGTATAATAATATAGATCACCATTGTTTTAGAGAAATCTGCATAGCTTTAGAAACGTGTGTGCTGTCACCTTTGGGAAGTGCTTGTAAAAAAAGAGCGTTGGTCTCAGTTCCAAACAGCAAAATGCTAAATTTCGAAATGAATTCAGTGAAACCTTCAATAAACCCTGTCCTTCTTACCAGAGCCATCCTGTTAGAGCATTTCATGCTCTCAGCAGACAAATATTGGCAGATGCTAAAGGCCAAGCTTAAGGAAAATTAAACCAGGAGGAGACTGCAGGCAAAGAGAGAAACTAAGGCAAGGTAGACAATGATGCCTTCAAGCCTAGCAGGAGGAACTGGATAGAAAGTGAGCGTTGCTGCTATGCTTCAGCAGCAATGTGTCCTTCTCTGGGCATAGGCTTACGCAGAGGACTGTTGAGACCTGCACAAATGCACAAAATCCTAGATGTTAATTTCTGAATTCTTCTCATTTATCACTGAAGGTCAACATTTGTAGCATCACAATTAGCAATGCCATAGTTTGGGTCTAGAAATGTCACTTGGGCTCCTTTCAGAACATGGCATTTCTTCTTTCATCTGTGAATGTTGTAATTTGTATTCTTGTGCCTTCTCCGTTTCCTAGCTATGATTTCTGAGACGAGGGTACTGGTGACCTCCAATGTCCTTTGCCACCATGGATGAGTGTGGGTTACAGTCATGAGGGATAATTCTACTATTTTTTTACAGATTAGCAGAGCAAATTGTTGAGCCAGAAGTTTAATTTTTGGGAAGGAATGGGAGAAATTGCAGGTTGCCTGTGGAAGTGTCAGTTCACATGAGGCTGGATGGTGTTTTCTGACTTGCAGCATCACATGTGTGTTTGAAGCGAGGGTCCATGGGCCTCCCAGCTCTCCCAGGCTCTGTGGGCTTCTTGGGAGCAGTCTGGGCACAAGAACTGAAAAAAACCCCAAACAACCCACAGTTCTATCATCATCAGGTGTCAGTACTCAGCGCAGAGCTCTGTGTTGCTGTTTTTGAGGAATCTGCTACTTGATAAAAGCTGAAAACCCCTGTGGGTCATGGTTAGGAACCCAGACTAAGAACAGCATGGTGAAGCAGTATGGCCAAGGCAGGAGGGAGCACGGACGGCTTAGTTCTTTCTGAATGGCTTCTCTGTGCAACCAGCAGCATTCAGGTCTTCTCCCCTCTTCAGCTACTGGTCTTGTAATTAGTAGGATCAGCCTTGGGATGCAATGAAGACATTTAAGCCGTCTCAGTAGAGCCCAGGTTACCATGCACTGCAACCCTGGGGGACTGCAGACATTGCTGAAGCAGATGGATTTGACACACTTGACTCCAAAAGAGTTTCTTTTGGTACTTTGTCTAAGCTCCTGCAAATATTTTCTCATTGTGAAAAGAGGAGGTGAAATAGATTGATCCTTCGAGGTGTTTGTCTGTAAGAAAAATAACCCCATTTCAGTGGCTTGTAAAATGCTCATCATTTAGGTATGAAACACAAACTGCACGACAACATAGCATGGTATTTGACATAGCAGAGTAACTGCCAAAGGTGAGTCATATGTGAGTGGGTCAGATCCTGATCTAATGGTGTGTCCTGACCTGGCATTGTTGTCAGCGGGGATTTCGCATAAATTGCTGGGATGTAGCTCGTGATGTTTACACATCTGGCTTGCGCGAGTAATCAGCAGAAAGTAATCAAACAGGTAAAACAGGATTCATAATCAGGAGAATGTCTTCACATAAACAAAAATCGATTCAGCATTTGCTGAAAGACATGAAAAACCCTGTGCAGAAATACTTGCCTTGGATTTAAACACATTTAGTAATTGCATATGCTAATCTGAAACAATACTAAATTGCTTAAAAAAATTTAGTCAGTCATATTGAATGTGACATAAAGTAAGGAAGGAAGGAGCTCTGAAATCAAGAGCCAAAAAGAAAATTACAACTTGACAAGCAGCATACTGAACTGAGTTACAATTAAGAAATTGTAGAAATCTCCAGAGTAGCGAGGTACAGTACATCTAGCAATTAGTAGAGGAATCTTCCAACTAGTGTCTGAGTTTAGTGGAAAATAATATCTAAGCTTAATTATAATCAACAAAACATTACCTATGCAGTTGGGGCTCATGCTGCAAAGAGAAAACTGGTCACGGTATTACAGATTAAGCTCAGTGGTTTTCCGGTCATTGGAAGATGGAGTGAATGAATGAGGAGTCACTGTGATATTATAAAAAGATTCATTCTGTTCCAGAAAATGTGGCTCCAGGAGGAAAGCCCTCTCTCTTTGACTGCAATGATAGACAATACCTATTAAGTGTTACTTTTTAGACATTTACTTAATGATGTTAATGATGAAGAAAAGGAAATCAGAAAAGGAAAGCAATTAAATGCACAATGTTATTATACAGAGCATTGAGATAAAATAGGAGTGGCCTCCTATTAAATAGGATAAACCCTCTTTGCTACATTCAGAATCAACATTAATAAAAGCTGAAAAGCAGTTAATAGAGAAATTGTAAGTTTAAGACATCTAATGACTGGTTATGGAAGGCAATATGTATATAGGCCAAGCAGTGTAATGAAACATTAAATATTTAAAGGGTTAAAGCCAAAACAGTAAGCAAAGTGTAGCCATTAAGAGCCTGTCTGATACCAGGGGTAATTAGGCAGTAAAAGTCATAAAATCTAGCACAGTAAACTCTCTTTTAAAGAAGATGCTTGGTGGCAGCTTGGCGTCTGTTTGCAAAGCCAGTCCATTTTTGCTCCAGCATCCACTGGAGCACCTGTGCTGGTGGATGAGGAAGAAGCTCCGGCTTGCCAGCAACAGGTGCAGGTGCTGGGACACACAGCCTGGGGTGACGGTGGTAGCAGCCGCATCCATCCCCTCAGGTACGGAGCTGTGAGGGGCTCTTCGCTGCCGCAAGTGAAACGCATCCCTTAGTTTCTCTGAGCCAGGGAGGTTTGGGAACGCTCTGTGCTGGTGGAGAGAGGCCGATCATGCTAATGGCCACATCAAAGCGCTTCACCAGGGACCCTCGTGGGTAGAGCTGCACTCAGGTCTGCCCTCAGGTCAGTTCTTCTCAGGAGCCGCAGCAGCTCGGCTTCCCATGGCACCAGGGCTGGACCCCTCAGCGCTGGGCTGCTGGAGGCATTAACACTGCGTGGCCGCTCGTCTCCTCCACTGCTGCAGGATGAGTCCACGTGGACTTATGGCCGTGTAGACAGGCTTTTATTTCACTAGTTTTTTACAGCAGAAAAAGCCTGACTAAAACGTGGGCATTTTCATTTCCCTCACACGAAGCGTTAGATGCAGCCCAAATCTAGCACAACATATTTCCGGGGCTTAATGTTCATTTGCCTCTTATACTTGACTTTTCATTTCTCTCATTTCTTGAGTTACATTGTGTTGTAACATGGCCTAAAACATAGCGTATACCTAAACAAATTGCTTGCACATGGGTAGTAAATTAGCTACTTACAATTTCACAATCCAACCATTTTGATAGGAGCTTCGGAAATGTGGATTATGTGTGTTCTCTGAGCACTGAGGCTGGGTGAGATGCTATGCGCTATCAAAAAGTTCCTCACCAAATGAGTAATGCTGAAAACTGGTCTCAACATTTTGCAACAATGTTTGGTTCTTGGTGTTTGCATAAAACACAGCATGCGGATTTAGAAATGAAAGAACATTCGGTTCCTGTAGCATGAGTCATGGGGAGATGCTATGTGATTGAGAATATACGTGTGCTTTATTGCCTCTAATTTAATCAGCAAGTAGAATATTCATTAAAACCTAATGCCGTGCAGTCTTTGTACGTGGATTTTATTTGAAATAAATCTGCATTTTCCCACTGTAGTCTATACAGCTTTACACCTTTCCAGGACATTAGAAGTTCGTCTTACATTTCTATAAAGTTATATTGACTGGTAATGGACTCTTAACTTGTACCTGTCAGGGGAGCAGCATCGTTGGAACATAGTCTGGTTTTTTTCCCATTAACTTTTTTTTTGGGTGATTTAGCAAGGAAGCTGAGGTAGTTACAGGAAATAAGGCCTCCAGTGCAAGTTTCTCCAAGAAAAACATATTGCTGTGTTGGCGGTGCCCTTGGCTGAAGCCTATGACATTGGACTAATGACTGTAAAGTCCATCTGATCGCTCTGGTTTCCTGCCATGCTTGAAACAGCAGCGCCTGAACCGAATGCAGGACCAGCTCTGGTGCAGGACATGGCAGGAGGCATCAGCTAGCCGGATAGCTTTCTAAACTACTAAAGCAACTGTGAATTATCATTTGGAAGGCTAATACATTCAGCCAACTATTTGCTTCCTCTATGATGTGCAACGTTTCAGAGAGTCAGGCAGTTGGGCTTTTTGGTAGTGGTATCTTATGGAGACGTCCGTCCTCTGTGGGGACTCTGTCTGCACTGGTTGCCTTGCACTGTAGTTCCTTTTCTGGCTGCCATGGTAATATTTAATACAAAAGACAGATGTAAGAGAGATGTGGTTTGCCAGATTTAGTACGCTTATAACTGTGAAGAAACTATGCTTTTAACAGGCAGGTAAAGTCATGCTGTGCAGAAACAGGAACTGCACTGTTGTTCCAAGCACACACTTCTTTGGGTTGTTTAAGCTCTGGGCTTTGCTGGTTTAGGATCTTTCATCTACCCAAGTACTCAGTGGAGGTAAGGTATTCTTCTGAAATCCAGCCCAAGCATTCAGCGTAAGAACTGATATTTTCACAGATGGTCAGTGCTTGCAGGCCACCAGTTCAGGCCCGGACACCCTTGAACATGCAAAGCTCTGTTCACCTGAGTAATTCCACGAATGATGACGCGCACAAGTTGCTGCAGTGAAGAGCAAGTGGCAATGGAAATTCTGTGTTCCCCTAATGTGTGACTCTCATTCTTGTTTATTGCAGCAAAACCGGAGATTCTCACTCTGGATATACTTAGCAATGGTATTCTCCAGTGCGTAGCAGCTGGATTCCCAGCCCCTACCATATACTGGTATTTTTGCCCGGGAACTGAGCAGAGGTGAGTTGAGTTAAGTAAACCAGTCTTCAAAGGTTATTCTAGATGCAACACACCCAATTTGTCATTAAAAATTAAGAACATAAAATGATTCAGTTACAGTTATGTTAAAACATTGCATCACTTGTTTCATCATTTTTGGCATTGCATTATTGGCAGTGGCTTGAGGGGAAGGCAGGGGTACGTTTCATTATTCCCCTTTACATTCTGTCCTTGAAAGGGGAATAATCAACTTTTTCTGCTGTGAAAAAGTAAAAGCCAAACTCTCTCTCTGCTGCAAGCTAGCTAAGGTTTGTATCAGTTTGGCCCCAAATGACACACGTTCTGTATGCAGTTACACAGAATGACAGTCACAGAATCACTTGTGAATATGGCTCTTATCTTCTGGTTTATTGTGTAATGATATAATTTTTCAAGACATAAAGTAATTAAATTTCTAGTCACATGAAGCATATGACAAGTAAACAAGTCCAGAGTTATTATTAATATAACCTGATGTCTAGTTACACGTTTCTAAAAAGAGTTTAGAGTTTTCCTGTGAAGTGAGCATTTGTGAAGCATGTTTTAAGGTATTGGTTGACTTCCACCGTGGGTGTAGATCTCGTACTAGCAAGTCACGGGTCTCCCGCCTGTGTAATTTGTTTTATGCCTAAAAAATAATTGTTATTTCCCTAATTTTTTTAAATAGTACTTTTTATATCTTAACTGTGTGCACATGGAATAAATATGTGACATACGAAGGAAAGGCAGCATCTTGAGAGAACAGAACTGGCTATTTTCTGGCTGCATATAAGCTTGATGGTGTTGTATGTATGTCATGGACTTTTTGTGTGCTGTAATAAAATGATGCTTGGGGAAAGTTCTCAAGAGTAGGTAATATACCACAACTGAAAGTTGAAAGCTTCAGCTTCAGTTGAAGCTGAAGTTGGAGATGCAGGTTGAACGGTACAAAACCCATAGTGGATTTATAGACCCGTACGTATCTCTAGTCAAAAGCAAACGCAAAGACCTCATGGTGTCCATTTAGGTCAGACTTGATGTATGTATCCATTTCACCTGCTACACAGGAGACAGTGAGACATTGTGAGTAGGCTAAGTTTCAAGGATAAGTTCTTCAGCTGAACCCCTTTGTAGAGCAGTGTTGTTTAGTTATCTGATGGTAGCGACTATCTGCCTCAACAGCAGGATTTGTCATCCAATCCAGGTAGCAATCCATGGCAGCTAACTGTCAGTATTGTTTCTCCCAGGTGTTTTGATTCACCTACAATATCCCCCATGGATGTCAAAATCAGTTACACAAACTCATCAGTGCCATCATTCGAACGAATCCTGGTTGAAAGCACCATTAACGCCAGCATGTTCAGGAGCACCGGTACCGTGTGCTGCGAGGCCTCCAGCAATGGGGACAAGAGCTCTGCTTTCTTCAACTTTGCTATTAAAGGTAACGGCTGGAGACCATAAAACGTGGGTGCCATTCAGCACTTCGCTTTGTAGGAGGGTTCATATTTTAAGTGTGTTACCTTTGCTGTAAGAAAGATTATGGTACTGTGAGCGTATGATAATGTACTATGCTATGTGTTGTGCCTATCAAAGCAGTGCTTTAATTTTTCAATGAACGTTGTGGTGTCATCTTTTTACGGCTCCAGATCTGCAGCGCAGTTCTTAGCTGGTTTTCTTCTGTCTGTGCAGCACAGGGGCAAAACACCTACAGCATTACACTGGCTTTCCTTCCCTCTCTCTCTTTTTCTTTTCCTGTCTTTGTCTGTTTTGACTATTTAGGCCATCATTTTGTTTCAAGGAAAAACTGCATTTTTTTTAATGTTTTTACAATGTCTCAGGAAAATGCGGTCCCGAATTTGACTGGAGCCTAAGGGCCCTGCTGTTGTAAAAGAAGTAACAACAACATACTGCAAGAGGCCTTATGAGTTTTGTAGCAGTATTTGTGGGTTTGTGGGGGGAAAATAAGCACTAGAACATAGATGACTGGAAACGTGTTTGTAAATCTGAGTGTATTGAGTTTGTGTGGTGAGGTTTTGGTACTGGGGGGGGCTGCAGGGGTGGCTTCTGAGAGACATTGCCAGAAGCTTCCCCCATGTCCAA